TGTGCCCCCAGTGCAGGACCCGGCCCTGAGCCTTGCTGACCCTCACCCAGTGCCTGGGCCCATCGACCCAGCCTGGCCAGGGCCCTCTGCAGAGCCTCCCTGCCCCCCAGCAGATCAACGCTCCCGCCCAGCTTGGTGTCCCCTGCAAACTGACTGAGGGTGCCCTCGGTCCCCTCCTCCGGATCATCGATAAAGATATTGAACAGGACCGGCCCCAGCACTGAGCCCTGGGGAACAGCACTGGTGACCGGCCGCCAACTGGATTTGACTCCATTCACCACCGCTCTCGGGGCCCGGCCGCCAGCCAGGTTTTTACCCAGCAAAGAGTACGCCCGTCCAAGCACCCTGTTGATGCTGACAGAGAGCACGCCATGGAAAAGGTTATTATCGACGATGTTCCCCAAATTACCCGCTTCAGCTTCCGAGGCCCCGGCAGCGCCCGCAGGGCTGCCTTCCCGCCTCCCCTTTCACCCTGCACTCTTGCCCTGACACGTCCCAGCCCCGTCCCCTGTCTCCAGGGCAGGGAAGCAAATGGCACCAGGCTGCAGGTGCCTGCACAGCTCCGCAGCCGCCCCGGCTCCCGGCCCCCAGCACGGCTGGGCTTCAGGCGAGCGCACCCACCCTGACCCCCCACCGCGGGGCTGGGTCGTGCCCGGGGCGGGCAGGATCGGCCCTGCCTGCGGGGAGCGTTCCCCAGCCCGGGCACGGGCTCGCAGCAGGGAAGGGGCTCTGCAAGGGGTCTGTCCCTGGAGCAGACAGCGGTCCCTCCCCATCCAGCCCTGCTGCCAGCTCTTGAAGCCGGGCTTTGCACCTCTGCAGACAGCAGTCTGCCCCTGAATCCCCCCGGGATGCCTCCTCCTTCCCCACCCGCTCCTGCCCCGACCCCTCTGCCTCCTTCCCGCCCTCCACCTCAACCCTTGCAGCACACGCAGCAGCTTCCGCAAACAGGCTGGCGAGCGAAGGCTGCGTCCTCCATCCCACGCTCAGAGCACAGACCACTCGCCTGCTGCCCTGAAACCCCTTTTTTCCTTCCCGCCATCTCTCAAGTGATGCGAAAACCCCATGAAATAGGAAGCAGAAGACAAACAAGATCCCTGCTCTGTCCTGACCCCCGGCTCCCAGCCCAGAGCTCATCAGCAAGGTCCTACCGTCTCCCTCCGGCGCTCGGCAGCTCCCAGGCTGGTGTCGGCCACCCCAAACCCTCTCTTTATGTAGTCCCCGTCTCTTTGGTCGCTGTGGCTTCCTGTTTATGGAGACAGAGAGGAGGGCTTCTACCTTCCTGGAAATCAGGCTATTTGCTTGCAGCACATTGTGAAAGTGAAACTCTGCTGACTCTGCCTGCGCTGGAGCTGAGCCAGGCATCTCAGAACGCAGCAGCAGCCCTGAGCACCCACACCAGGCTCCCAAATCCTCTCCTGGCCTTTGCACAGGGGTGCCCGGTGCACCCGTCCAGCATCGGCAGGGTCCTGCAAAGCTGCTGCCTGCAATCGGGGTGAAAGGCAGGAGGGGCTGGGCAGCACCTGGGGCTCTTGGCTGGAAACCTCCCCGACCTGCTCCTCTTACCCCTGAATCATGGAGTCACAGAAGGGTTTGGGTGGGCAGGGACCTCCAAAGGCCACCCAGTCCCACCCCTGCCATGGGCAGGGACATCTTCACCCAGACCAGGGTGCTCAGAGCCCCGTCCAACCTGGCCTTGAACGTGTCCAGGGATGGGCCATCTCCCACCGCTCTGGGCAACCTGGGCCAGTGCCTCACCGCCCTCAGCACAAACAAGTTCTGCCGTCTGTCCAGTCTGAATCTCCCCTCTTTCCGTTTAAA